ATAATGCAAATCCCTTCCTGTTGTGTGCGTCCGGCTTCGAGCGAGACCCTTCAATTACGGTCTTCGCCGGTCCCCGGTCTTAGGAATCTTTTATTCTGATTCGGAACAGCAGAGAATTATGCAAATAATAATCATAAAAAATATGGGGTGTTATGCGTGCATCAATTATGTCAATCTGATTTTGAGAACTGTAACAAAACATCCGCAAAGGCAATTATCAAGCAAGAATAATGCAGAAAATAAAACTGACTGACTCGAGCAAAGACAGGAGCAATTGAGTGAGGGAAGAATGATAATTCATAATAATCTCAGAAAGTACACATAAATGAGCGTAGTCAGCACCTCTCAAGAGTCCTCACTCATCCCTCTAGTCAGTCTCTCTCAATCTCTCTTTTCACTGATCTTCTCTGGTGTCGTGACCCACGCCCACGTACAATCTGGGACTAAGGCTTCGTGACAAAATGCCACCTGTAGCCAGCAAGTTCTGAGCATGTCCATCCGAGGCACATGACACGATAGTTAACCATGGAGCAGAACTCCTCCCACAAAGTAGTCAGTCCGTGCACCGAAAAGACTCCTCGCCTGAGGTAGGGGTACTCGGTGGGCTCAGTCAATGCCTCAATGTCGATCACCGCCGGAGAGATGTATCTCTTTGCCAAACCGATCACATCCAGCCAACTCGTGCCATCGGTGAAAAGAGAAGGGACCGGCGGCCTGGGATAGTCAGTATAAAGCATTGGCCCGAAGCTGCGGATCAACGTAGTGCCACTCTCATCGAGCTCCCTCTCTCTCTGCTCAAGGTATTCAGTGGCTGAGATCCAGACCGGATCGAAAAACTCATGAGTCTCCTTGCCCTTCTTCAGATATGGCCTCAAGTCGTGGATAGTACCATCAGGGAAACTGGTCTGGACCACGAAGATCGACAGATCTCAGTGTCTGAAGACAATGCCGTTAACATACTGATAACGGAATGCCTCTTTGCACGAAATCCGGTTGAGGCTGGTCAGCACTGACTCACTGACCGGCGTAGACTCAACTGCGCTCATGAGAAATCTTGCCAGCACAAAACAACCAGACGGTCCCGGAGGACTGATTACCGAGCTGATTGCAGAAAACCGACTGCCGAAAACTAATTGCTGGGAACTGACTGCTAGGAACTGATTGCCGAAAACTGATCACCGACCCGGTCGCTGACCTAATTACTGGCCTGGTCGCTTGCTGCAGGACTGGCTACTGTTGGAATTGATGGCTACTGAGTTAAATGCTGATTATTTTCTGAATTGCTTATTCGTCGGTGATTACCGTGTCATAACTGGTTGTTTTTTTTACTCTTGTGTCTTGCAGGTTTACAATACTTCCCATAGCCACTAGCTCCCAACCTGATCCACTCTTCTTCTACTCATGTTCTGTCTGGCGCAGTTTCGCACTACTTGCACCTGCAAATGGTTCTCCGTGCCTCCTCAACGGAACCCACGGATGAGGTGATTGCACACAGTTTTCCGCTCTTGTCATACAGGTAGTAGATATATTCAATTTTTGTATGGTTTCTCACGAGTGTCAGCGCATGCGCGATCATGATGGTAGTCTGGTAGTTATAGTCATTGGTTGCCGTCTCCCTCCAATCTCTTGTTGTGGCTTGATGCAACGAACAAGTCACTCTAATTGTATCACAGTCCCCCATTCCTCCCCTGGGTTTTCCACTGTTTGGTTATCAGTTAACTGCTGCTGTTAAGGCTGCCACTTCAAAGTGTTGTTCCTAATTACTGCTGGTTGCTGGACGTCGATTAAACAGATGGCCGAGTAGTGATTAATATAATTATCAAGTAACGGCTGGATAGCAGCTGAACATTGTTCTGAGCTCTGTCCAGAGCACTGCTCTGAATACTGCTTTGGGCACTGAATGTTGCCCTTAGTACTGTTCAACGTACGGTTCTGAACACTGTCAGAACCCTTTTCGTGTACTGTTCCAGATACTGTTCCTGGAGGTCGTTTCAAAAGAAACTTTTCTCACGTTGTTGTTTCCGAATAAATTGATTGTTGCTTGCAATTAAATGTCTGCTACTGTTCAAATGCCATATAATGACTGATTAAGTGCTAGTCAGATGTTGTTGAGTTCATGCAAGTTTCACCAATGCCTGTCCCACGCTCTCTAGCGAGGAGATGGTAATATGCAATTTACCATCGTGACTGTGGAAGTAAATTACATATTCGATGTATCTTTCTCCCTTTACCATCTGGACTGCATGTTCACGTTGAGCTTCCTTAAAAGACTCCATAACCCGATATGCCTCTTCTTCCCATCCTTCTCCCTTATCCCTATTTGACCTGCACTTTACAATCAGAACCTCTCCTTCCTTCATGATCCCTTTTTGTTGCACTCAGACTCAAGCCATGGCCTGATCAGCTCACAGACAAAAGTGAGACTTGCCTACCCCCGAGTGTAAGGGCTATCTTCTGCAGCGCCCTCCGAGTTAGTACGGCCCTTTGGTGACTACTGGGGAGGGAAGAAGGTAATTTAGCAAGGGGGCTCTCAATATCGCCCTGTATGATTGTCCATAAACGATGAGGTAACTGTTACGAAAGGCAAACGCTAGAATCAGACACTAGGTGAAATTATAATCATACTGATTGAAGAAGGTTGTGGAATATTTATCCTTAACTGTTGATCGACACCTGGTGCATGGGGCAACTCCTTCTGTGAATATACCTGCTGGTATCCATGTGTGCCAGATCACTGTTCACGTGGGTACACCGGCTCTGCCAGCGCCAGATTACGTCGATTGTCTATTTCTTCTAATAACACCTTGTCAATTTTGTTGCTCTGATGAAAGCCCCAGCACGCCGAGATCAACTCGCTTCGTGCGGCACTCCAGGTAGGGCAAAACTCAACTGTCTAAATAGCAAGTTGAGTCAGGCAGGCGGCTCCTGGTGAAACGGGTCGTAAAATGTCCATGTAGTGCACGGTTTTCCCTGTGTTCGTGCTACTGTTGATTGCTCAAGAGACAGCTGAAGGCAGTGGGGGCACACATAACGCATTTTCACGGTATAACCAAGGTCACGTTAATAGTGACGAGGAATACAAACAACTTTCCTTCAGTTCAAATCTTGCCCCAACTTTTCTAAGTAGATTCTCAGTCACCATCAAGTAGGAACTTAGCAAGAACATAAAATATTTTTCTCAGAGCCACCTTTCTTTTTCCCATCTAATCGAAAGTCAAGGCATAGATTCACCAGCCAATAGAAATCACCTCCACAGTCCCTTTTGACATAGTAGCGGAAATAAGCTTAGAATATTCGACCAAGTACCCGCCTGTAATCGCCAGGCCAACAAGTGCATTCAACCAAGCATTCGCCCACACACACACGTTTCTGTAGGGTTGTAGTCTCGCACCCAGTTTCTGTCTGGGCACGAACGAACTCACAGCATTGTGGGTAACCACTCAATTAGAACGAACACATACGAGCCTACGCTCTCATGCACCCATACTGCAACTCAGCGTAATCACAAAATACAGTCACGCAACGCAGTCACAGTATGCAATCATGAGATGTAGTCACGCGATGCAGTCACACTTGTGCAGTCAGGCAAAGCGATCATGCACCCATGCAGTCACTCGATACAGTCACACTTGTGCAGTCAGGCAAAGCGATCATGCACCCATGCAGTCACTCGATGCAGTCACACCTTTGCAGCCAGGCAAAGCGATCATGCACCCATGCAGTCACTCAGTGCAATGCAATTGTGTGATGCAGTCGTGCGATGCGGTCATATGGAACCAAACGCATAATGCGGCCGCATAAGACGAAAACTCACGATGCTACCACACAAAATAATCACTTGGATGCAGTCACTTGGAACAGTCGATGCAGCCACACAGGTACAATCGCAGACGCGCAATAATACGACACAGGACACGCA